CACCAGATAATACAGGACATCCCCATGTGCAGGTCAGCTGACTGGTGGCCTTAATTCCCCTTTGACATGTAACGTATTCACAGGTTCCAGGGACAAGGCGGCAGGCACTTTTGGGGGGCTACAGTTCTGCCTACCATCCCTCAGGCCAGAAGCCTGGAGATCAGACCCACCCGCAACCTCCACCCATGAGTGAATCCTCGAGTTTCACCTGCCACCTGCTCCTGAGCCTGTCCACTCCCCTCCAACCTGCAGCCGCTCCCTCTCCCTCACTTCCACTGCACTTCCTCACAACCTGCCCACTTCCTCTCTTGCCTCTCTTCCAGGCTGCCGAGTGAGCAGCATTCCAGTGTCACACCACTCTCGAGGCCCTCCAGTGTTTTCTCAAGGCTCTCAGGACTGAGACGTCCCCTCTCAGGCCCCCAGAGCCTGGCTTGTGTAAACCCTCCTCCCTCCCTGTCCACAGTCTTCTCAGCAGGAGGGCGGTGTCCACCTCCCATCTCGGCAGGCAGCCCAGCTCCTCCTCCACTTCCAGGTCTCAGCACAGGCAGGGCGTCCTCAAGGAAGGTGTGACATCCCACCCATGGAGGACCCTGTTAGTCTGCCCAGGTGCCAGATCTCCACCTCCAGACCCCTTCGGGACAGGCCCCCTTTCCCTCCTCCCCCAGCCTCTGCAGGCCACGTCCACATTCAGCACTAGCCCAGGGACCTCAAAGGTGCTCGTGTTCCTCTGAATGACTTCATTATTCCCAGCAACTCCTGGAGACCAGTGAGGGCCTGCTGAGCCAAACTCTCCTCTGAGGAGGCTCCTTGTGGCTCTGCTAGTGGGAGCTGAACGCCCAGGGCCTCGCCACCACCGCACTTGCGAACGTCACACTCCACATACCCTGCCACACGCATACCCTCCTGCCAGCAAGCACACACTGCCAGGAAGGGCCGTGCTGAAACAGCAAACCTCAGTGCCACGCTGAAAGGCTGCCTGTGTTTGCAAGCCTAGTGTGCGGGCATCGGTCTTGGCACTTAAAGTACGGCAGGAATTCCAACTGTAACTGCAGAAAGCAACCGTCCATTGAGAACCAAGTGAGTCAGAGGCCCAAGAAAGACCAGGCCCAGAACGCCAGAGACTGGACCTTCTCATTCTTGTCATCCAGCTATTGCCTCTCTCCGCTCCACACCATTCTCACCTGGGGGTACGCCGCAGCCTCCCTGCCACCACCTGTGGCCCCCTCATGCCTCCAGCATCTCACACAGCAGCCAAACTGGGCACAGACCACGTCACTCTGCTCAGGGCCTCTCACCCCTCAGAGTAAGAGCAGCTGTCCACATCTGCATGGGACAACACAGCTCTCCCCTCCCTTGGGTACAGCCTCACTCCCAAAGCAGCACCTCCACACTTGCTACCTGCACCACTCTTCCCCTAGCCACCCAGGGGGTCCTTCTCTCCTTCCTAGAAACCCTTCCACAAAGAGCACCTGGTCGCTGAGGGAGCCCTGGCCCCTTTATCACCTGCCTCTGGGTTTTCTAACCCCCTCCTTTACATTAATTCCTCCTAGCAGCTCTCTGTTAAGGTGTTCTCTGCTCTCCCACTCATCATAAGCTCTGTAAGAGCAGAGATCCTGGTCTAGTTTGTTCACTAATGTAACCCTCACACCTGGAGCCTGTCCTAGCATACAGTACAGGTTAAATAAATATTTACTGGATGAATGACCTCCAAGAGGCCTCCCCTTTCCTTACCAAACAGAATCAGGCTAGGCAAATAAATCTTCCCCCAGACGCCACAGACACTTCAGTCTAATGCAATAGAAGCAGAAACCAATGGCCCCAGGACGGATGTGACTTGGTGAATATTACACACGAGAGGCGGAAAAGGGGTAAAATCCACCCAACTCCTTGTCAGAGGTCTTTCCACCATACCACACTTGCTAGCTCACCTAGAAAAGAAACTGCTAAAAGCCTCAGCCAAATAATCAACCTGATACCAAAGTGTCCTCAGGACAGCACATGACCTTGGACAAACCACTTCTTTCCTCCAGACTAATGTCAGTCTGAGCAACTAGACCAGTCTGGATCAACCACCACTGCTCAGTAATAATCAGAACAATATAAGGTAAGTGAGCTCTAAATGTGCAGAGCTCACTTCCTGGTGAAGAACGCAAGCACATAAAAGAGGACTTGGGTTCAAGCTGCACATAAGCAGGCCAGGCTTTATAAGGAGGTGAAGTCTGAAAAGGAAGAAAGATAACCCCTGCAAAAGGGAAGGAACACTCTGCTCAGCTCCTGCAGCACAGAGCAGCATGGAATACAGAGGACCCAGAGGCCCAGCAGCACTGCAGAGGGCAAACTGCAAAGAAAGGACAGGAAATAGAGGAAGCCAAGAAACTGAGCAGTGGTCTGGTTATAAAGGGGCCTAGATGCTATGCAAAAATGTCTACACATGGCATAGCATCTTGGGGGAAGACAACTATACAGCTTTCAGCCAAGCCTGCCTCCCTGAGCATCACCTGGAGGACAAAGTATGTGTTCTGCAAACCACAAAACCCCTGGGAGACATAACACTTGTGGAGCACCAAGACCAGGAGCTGGCAAACACTAAGTGCTTAATGAATGTCAGCCGGACTGTCAAAGACTTGTTATGGGCTGTGCCGTATAAAGGTCCCTTCACAGTCTAGTATCCTGTGGTAAGTGTAGTCTCCCTCCTGAGCTTCCCAGGGTGAGATCAACAGTCAAAAAAGAGAAAGATCATGGAACCACTCAAAAGAGTAGACAAAGCTGGGAGCTCTTCTGGCACTGGGATTGTGTAAGTGAAGACTGAGGAAGGGGATAAGCTGCTGTGAATCCTCCTCAGGGAGAGTGCCAGCCTGTCACCTACAACAGCAGCACTGCCAGGGGTGAGAACCACAGGTTGGAAGGGGACCACATGGGCTACACAGGCCTCTCTGGTGGGCCTGATTCTCCCTATGTCCTGCCCTCTCAGTGACAGCCACTAACAAATCTCAAGGCGCCAATGCCATCAGTACCTGTCACATGGAAGCTGCTCTCAAAAGTGCCTGAGAGGGCCCGGGATTTAGCTCAGTGGCCCCACCCCTGCCTCGCAAGCACAAGGTCCTAAGTTTGATCCCCAGTACCAAAAAAAAAAAAAAAATAGTGCCCGAGACACAGTACAGCACCAAACTCCAAGGAAAAAGAAAGTCTGTCTTTGCTAATGCGGGCTGTCACAGCAAAAGCTGGGCCTGTACTAGCTTCCTGTGGCTGCCATAACAAACCCCCACAAATACAGTGACTAAACACAACAGAAATTTATCCTCTCAGTTCTGGAGGACAGAACAGTGAAATCAAGGTATTGGCAGGGCCATACCTTGCAAAGTCTCTAGAGGAGGATCTTTCCTTGGCACTTAGAGCTTCTGGTGGTTGCCACCAATCCCTGGCTTCCCTAGACTTGTAAACACATCGCTCCAGTCTCTCCTTCTGTCTTCCCTGTATCTGTCTGTTTTCATGCCCAAATTTCCTTCATCTTAGGAGAATGCCAATCTTTGGATCAGGGCCTTCCCTAATCCACACAACCTAATCTTAACTTGATTACTTCTGAAAAGATCATAATTCTAAGTAAGGTGACATTTGCAGGTGCCAGACAGGCATGAATTTAGGGACTGTTTAATCCAGTACAAAGACAAACTACCAAGAGACATAGTCTTCAATCCACAGGTTTATTCACTTTATAACACAACACAGCAGCTCTTACATCTCACCTAATTGTTAAGATCTAATTAGAGTTTAAACTGGGGGGAAACAAAAATCTCAAGACCTGAAAGCAACACATAAAAGTTACAGTGCCACGTGGCTCCTTCTCCCTGGATTCTATGTTCCATACCACCTGTCCCTCCCTGTTGCTTCTTGGACCTCTTATCCACCTCCACTCCCAAATCTTCACCTCATCTTGAACCCTGACATTGGTTTTGATGAAAGTTCTTATTGTTCAAGAAAGCCCCATCCTGGTGATAAAATAGGTTCCCTGGCCACCTCTGACAATCCACTTACCCTCTGAGTCACTGTTTATGAGCAGTCCTGCTAACTCCTGACCACTCTGACGAGTATGCAGTGAACTCTAAAATTCACAATTCTACCACTCACCCAGTGTCCATTACTAAACACAGGAGCACAAACCACTACTGTGCTTATGAATGCTTTCGATATCTCAGGCTTTAGTTTCAGGACAGAACACGCTATGTTTTGAAATCTCAGAGCGTGCTTGTTTCTAGTCTGCTCTCACCAGTGGCTGATTTTACCCCAGGTATTTTCCATGTAATGTCTCCTCATTCCCTAGAGCCCTGCAGGGCTCAGTGCCACACCAATCAGAGAAGAGCTTTGGAGCTGTACAGCTTCCAGCATGCACTCAGGTATTTAATTTTTAGGGGAAAAAAAATTTTTTTTTAATTTGCTTCCTGTTGCTGATACACTGGAGTTGGTCTTGGGTCCAGAAAGTGGGAACATGGAAATTCACAGGGTGGATCCAACCCTCTACCGCGCTCAGGGCACAAGCAACAGCTCACAAGGGCAACAAGAAGGCGAGGCAAGTGGCTAAGAACCACCACCCCTCTGCAGAAAGTGATCTCCCCAACAGGAGCAGTCTAGCCCGGATAGTTTCCTGACTCTGCTACACTCTCCAGGGCATGACCCGATTCAGTTCCCTTCAGCCTTCTGAGAGACCTTAAGAGTTGGCAGAAGACCCCAGCCAGCTCCGGGGAAACTTGGAGCTGCTCGTGCTCCCTGCAAGCCTTGCTCCTACGTGCGGCCACTGTCACCTCCGAGACCCCACGTTCCGACCCCTGAGCCCCCGCTGCGCCCTTCACAGCGCCCAGCAGTCCCCACGGTGCCGAGGTTCCTCTCCTCGGAGCCCAGATTTCCGCCCCAGACCCCGACTCCACCCTCAGCCCAGAGGGCCGACGCGGCCATCTGACCCCTGACCCTGACCCTGACCCTGACCCGGCTCTCCCTGTCACACCCACCTGCCCGGGACCTTGCTGGTGCTGCGCTTCCAGAACTGCTTCCTGGCCCCGTCACTGGCCATGGCAGCTCCTCATCCCTCAGACCGAGGCTCCGACACCCCGAGTGCGGCCGGCGAGCCCCAGCTACCCTTTCCGGTGGCCCCTCGGCGATCCCAGGACTCCAGAGCGGAGACCTCAGAGCCTCTTCCGCCTCCCTCCGGAAGTTGTTCCTCCGCCCGCCCGGAAGTCCCGCCTCCGCCCGCGGCGTGACGGCGTCAAAGGGCGACATAGGGCTGCTCGTCTGTAGGCTGCGCCCCCAGAAGCGCGGGTGTCCTGCGTCCTTTGTTCTAGCGGCTTCCCGGGCGGTCCGGCCACTCAGAGCTCCACGCTCTGCGGGCCCCAGCCGTCCAGAGACGCAGCCGCGCGGTGACGTGGAGCAAGGCCGAGGGCGTCAGGCGCGCATCCCCTGCGGAAGGGCGAGCACCGAAGCTGGAGGATGCGTCTGGCCGCTTAGGACCCTCGGGCGCCCGAGAGGCGGCCGTTCCCGGGAGACCGAGCGGCGCTTCGCGCGGGAAATACAGGACTCCGAAGACGCGGCGCGAAAATACGACTCTTTACATTGATTACATATTGAATGATACCGTGGAGACATAGGGTTGAATAGAATATATTGTTAAAACTTTCCTCATTTCTATTTACTTTTCTATGGATTTATTACCTTATTTCTTTCTCCTAATAAAATACAACATCTACATTTTTTTCGCTCAAAAATGTTTGACAGCCTTTATAAATACTTTCAACAATTTTTCGGCTGTTATTTGTTGTTGATGTAGCTGCCAGAAAACTTGAAATGCATATGTAGTTTGGGTTGTATAAATGGCCTTGGACCGAAGACTGAGAGGTCGGGGACTGGCTTTTAAAGCAAAAATGTAATTATTTTCTTGTACCTCCTGCGTGTTAGACAAATGCCCCACTGCTGTGCTACACCCTAGCACCTGATTATATCCCTTCATTAAGGTTTTTCCATCCCTCTTTACTGAAAAGTGTAACATTGATTTAGTACTTGCTGTGGTTACTTATTATGTGTTATCTTAGTCATATGCCAACCATGTCCTCAATACACAGCGCAGTGAATGACTCTCTGCTCTCCTAACTCCTGAGTGGTAAGAGAGGTCACACAGCATCTGCCTGACTGCGTTTTTAGTCTCTCCCCCTACTTTTAGTTTGTGAGATGCTGCCAAGTGGGGCTGTGTCATTCTACCCTATCTATGGCAGTGGTCCCCAGACCTCACACAGTGAGCCTTCTGCAAGTGCATGTCACATAGAGGACAACCACAGGAACTCTAAGGATTCCCTTTTGCCACAGCCATAGAAACTCCCCATGAATCGCCACAGGGCAATCTCAAGGCACCTCTAGGTCCTTGGGGCTCCTTTGTAACAAAGCTTTAGAAACTCCTGGAATCCTGTCCCTACACAAGGACAGAATGTCCAGAGATCTGGTAACGTGGATCTAGAGGACTGTTTCCTGACATAGCCAGGAATTATGTATCCTGGAATTCTAGTAGAGCTTGGAAAGCCCCCCAGCAATCTCTTCCCCTGAGTGTAGCCCCTCCCTAGATTTAGGCTCCTAGTAGCCTCGGGGATCCCCTACAGACACTGTTGGGGGCCGTATGAGTTCTCTCCAGCTCTGTCTGGCTGATTGCAAGAATCAGTGAATGAGGAGCCAGAAAGCAGGGCTAAGACACTGGAAGCAGAAAGAAACAGAAAGCTGAAAGAGTTTAAAAGAAGGTCGGGGATTTAGCTCAGTGGGACTGTGCTTGCCTGGCAAGCGAAAGGTCCTGAGTTCGATTTCTGGTACTCAAAAACAGTTTAAAAGACAAATTGAAAGCCATTAGTGACTGATTAGATGTGATAACACCTTAGAGTCAGTTGTTCCTCATAGTTTACCATTGGCTTCTCTACCTACTGTCTCAAGGAAGGAGCAAACAAGGATTGACAGAATCTTCAAGACTGGCTAAGCAAAAGATAACTGATAAACGGATACACATAAGGAGTGAGCCTGTTTGCAGTCTAAGTTTGTGATGGGTTTGGTGTTGGGTTTGAGGGAAAAGAAGTTAGATCTCAGCCAGCACTACATCAGAGAGCATGTTTATCCATAAATGAGACAGAAGCTAGATGCAAACCCAAGATGAGGTCAGAAAAAGTGATCAAGGTCACTTGATCAGGTCGATGTCACCAGGAATTTAGCTCAGTGGTGCCACTGCCTGCCTCGAAAGCACAAGATCCCAAGTTCGATCCCTGGTACCAAAAAAGAAAAAAAAAAAAGAATAGGTCGATGTCATGAGCAATATAGGTACAAAGACAAGCCAAGACAGAGACAATATCTGGAAGTGGATTCAGACAAAGGGGACAGATAGGATTCCAAGAGTCTGGTATCAGGCCAGGTTTGGAAGCTAAAGTAATACAAATGTAGACTCTAGGACTGGGACCTATGCAGGAATCACAAGACAAATAACCACATCCCAGAGATAACAAATATCTGTAACCTTTTTTGTGCATTTATGCGACAGTGTTTTTTTGGCAGTGGGGTCTTACTGTGTTGCCCAGGCTGGTCTCAAACTCCTTGAGCTCAAATGTTCCTCTTCCTGGGACTGAGGAGAAAGGGCTGGACACTCCCCAAGAGTGGGTGGCTGGGAGCATGGGTGACTGACCAGCTCAGGGATGAGAAAGTAGGCTACCAGCCCAGCCCCAAGGCAGAAGCCGTCAGGTAGGAGGCCCGGGGTGTTGCAGGCCATGTTCCCTGTGTGTGCATTGAGGGGAAGGGGCCCATACTGGTGGAGAATGAAGCTAGCCACAAAGACCATAAAGGAAAAGAAAAAAAAAGGAGTGACAATAGCTTTAAGACCCTGGATCCATCCCTGTAGCTCAGAAGCCTGAGGCAGGAAATTCTCAAGTTTGAGTCCAATCTGAGTGACTTGGTGAGACTGTGTCTCAAAATTTAAAAACAAAATAAATTTAAAGGCTGGGAATGTAGCTCAGTGCAAAGGCCCTGGGTTCAATCCCCAGGACTGAAGGGAAAAAAAAGACTCTGGATAGAGTTGTTCCTGAGCCTCAGCTGTCCCTCCCTGTTCTTGCATTACACACTCAATTCTACCACCCCATGACTGTGGCTGTGGCAAGCCAGGAGGAGGAGCCAGAGGCCAGTCCTGGATGTCCTCAGCAGTGACAGCTGTGAAAACAGGACATGCCCAGCTCACAATATAAGCTACAGGCCATGATGATTCTGCAGGTGTGGAAACCAAGAGATCCAGACCACCCTTTAGATTTCATCCCCAGGGCCCTGACTCCCAGCTAAAGTCATTTCTGTTGCTTTGTGGGGGGCAGGGGGATTCAGGTTGGAACCCAGGGCCTAAGCATGCCAGGGGAATCATTGTATCCCCGACCTCCACCCTAACTCCACCCTGCAGTAGCAGCATCACACCCAGGTCCTACACAAGGATTTTTCCAGGCATCTACCACTCAGCTGAAGCAGTGAGTAGGTGGCCACCACCAAGGCCCAGGTGCAAAGTGGGTTCCACGCCTGGATCCCTGACCCTGGGTGGACAGAGTGAGGCCCCTGCTGTGTCCAGATCAATGGGACAAGAGTGACATGTGCCCTTCCCCACTCTGTCCCTACCCACTGCTGCCTCAAATTTGCCTGCCCTTAACCTCCACATAAGCACGAGGCAAAGCTGGGGTGTCCGCAGGGAGAGGGCCATCTTTAGAGCCTGGCTCACCATGGAAAGAGAGATTATACTATAGAATTTTCCATATCCCAGGTGTCGGTGAGAGGCTGTGGCCCATTTGCAGGCCTGGGTCACACTCTTGAGCAGCTGCTAATTGGTGCCATTGTGCTGCTGCTCTACTTCTGCTCCTGGCCTAAATGAGGTCACCTGCTTGGTGCCACTGGAGATGGAGCCCAGGGAGGACAGCTAGGCAGCCCAGTCCCAGCTCCATTAGGACAGCTACGGGACTAATAGTATGAAGCAAAAAGGTTTTCTGTCCGATTACAGCCACCTTGGGCAAGCATTCCCATAGTGCCAGAGGTCAGACTCTGGAACTGAAGTGCTGTGGTTGGGGATCTGACACCACACAGTCTACAGGGCTGGTTCTACAGCCACCCCCATGTGTGCGGCTGGTCTGTCTCCTACCACAGCAGGCATCACTAATCAATCTGTGATTCATCTACCCCACCCCCACGGATGGGCAACTGGACAAGTTTCTGATCTTCAGCAACTCATTAATGGGAGAAGGGAAAGACGCAAATGGACTTCCTGTGGGAGAAGTCTACACTTTGGGAAATGGACTCAAGCAGGATGCATTAGTTCAAAACCACAAGAGATAAGACACAGAAGTCCAACGCAGATCAATTGATCAGCTTTTTCACTGATGAGGCTCGACTAAGCCCATGGCAAGGCATAGTGCCACCCCCACCAGGATGGCTTCAGCAAAGCGAGCAGGTAATAGTGAGTGTGGGGAAAGATGGCAGAGACTGGAACCCCTGTGTTCTGCTATGGGAATGTCCCATAGTGCAGCTGCTTTGGAAAACAGCTAAGTTGTTCCTCAAGCAATTATATAGAGTCTCCACATGACTCAGCAACCCCTCCCTGGGGATGTAGCCGCATGAGAATTGAGAGCATGTTCACAGAAAAACTTATTTGTGATGATTCATATTTGTGAGCACCAAAGAGTAGAAACAACCCAAGCACCCACCAACTGGTGAATGGCTAAGTAAATGCGGCAAAGACGTATGATGGAATGGGACTTAGCCATAGAAGGTATAGTACAGATACGAGCCCACCGTGGCTGGACCTTGCATTACGCTAGACGTTATGGTCTCAAGACAGCCTCTCCAAAGTTCCCCTTGAAATGAAATCCCCTTTGTGGCGGCATTAAGCAGCAAGGCCTCGGAGGAAGAAGAAGGGAAGTCTTGGGAGACTTGGTTGCGTGATCCAACAGGGCTGGGGGGAACCAGCTGAGATCCCTTTGCTCTTCTGTTCTTCCACTACATGGAGACCCAGGATTCATCCTTTCCACCCTCTGCGCTTCCTGCCATGTGGGATACCTGGACAGTGCCATCTATGAGGGACACGTCCTCA